TTTAGTTTAAGTTTATATTTTAATCACTGAAACTAATCATAAGATGGAAAAGACTTTCGAAAGATTTATGTTGAAAATACAAAACCTTATATAAAGTAAAACTCTTTAATAATGGTGACTTAAAATTACAAACTAAACTTGAAATAGAACATAATTCCAAACTATAGTTTAACAGACAAAACATAATACTCAGGCAAAGTCCTATAAATGAACTTTGTTAATAATTTTGCGTTTCTTATAAGTTTAGCTCCTTTATATTGTACATGTTATTTAGGCCTAGCATGATTTCCAGCATCGTTATGCAGAAAATCCAAAAAATTCCTTCTGACCTGAACTTCAACATTTTTGTCAGAGTTCAATCACTCCTATCAACATAACTCTTAGACTATCGATTACGTTTAAAAACACTTCACATTTAAACAGAGAAAAGTTTATAATACTTTCTTTAAATGTTTAATGCCATACCACTTTTTTACAGCATCGAATTTATCAGTGGTAAATTGGCAAACAACGATTTATAAGCATAATAAAATTACTTTATGTAAAGAACGTACTGCATGTTTTAATAGAATATTGATATATCTTCTTCAGATAGAAACATGTAGTATGTTATTCACATAAAATAATTCTCATTATGCTGACAAATAGATTTTTGTCAGTTTACTCTTGCATTAGCATAATGTGCTTCCGTACAAAAGTATAGAAATTATTAGTTTAGAGTTTAATTACGATACATTTGAACCATTAAATATTACATCTTTTCAACGTGTGTACGGTGGAACACCTTCATAGTTTTAGTTCTAACGTTCTACCGAAATATTTTACCCATTTGCCTCAGCTTCTGCTTTGTCACATATTTCTGCAATAAAACAATAAGTTTTTCAATATTTTACTGTATACTATTATTACGGTTATTACACTTTCAAATGTCCATACGTTTACCGAGTTTTCGCGTAAAAATAAATAAAAACTTTGTATTTGACAATAAAAGGTAAATTCCCAGTTTTTAGAATTAGAAAAATAACTTGGCCATTGAATAACACTATTAATCTTTTTTAGCTATCATCATATGCCCTATTTTCTCTTCCTGGCAAATTCCAACAAAGTTGTTTATCCTCTTCCATACGAAAGCCAATGCTCTCCACCTGGAGGTGAACGGGTGGAACCTAACGTTTAAGAGAAACCTGTATTGCACATAATAAACCAAGTTTCCTGGTTGTTGAGGAAGACAGGATGACCTACATCTGTTAAGTACACGTTTCTAGTGTTACGTTGCAACTAACGATTCACCATTCTTAAATGGCTTTTAGATGTCTCCGTTTGGATTACTAATTTCACAAATAATTTGAAAATAGAAATTAAAGCCTTGCTTCTGGATTTTTCACTCCTTGTTTATCATTTTCTAAATTAAATTTCACCACCATCATACTCATTTTCACGATAGTTTTTAGAATGTATTAATCTTGTGCTCAGTCATGTCAATGAAATTCTCTTATTCGTGTGCTATTTCGTTCAGGAAGGGGATGGAGAGTATAGACACATCCCTTACTAGATTCTCGTTTCGTAACAATGAAATAAAGAAAATAGCGGATTTCAACGTTAAGTGGCTTCGCAGTTTAATACCATATTTTATTTTAATCAAGAGAGTTAATAAAGACGAGATACAATCTATCATCTATATACTGCATCTAAATCATTTCCCAATGAGTCAGTGGGGTACTTGCGACGCTAAACTCCGGAGTTCGATTCCCAGCAGTAAATAGGAGACAAATAGCCCTTTGTGTAGCTTTGTGGTAAAACACTGACAACAGCAACATTTAAATGGATATGAATCTTCTCAATTTAAATCACTTACCGCCGGCCTTGATGCTACGTTTTTACATTGGTTAAAGGTTGGAAAGTTATATTTGTTATGAAATTTTCTTAGCTTTATGCCTTACCTGATGTGAAAACTGAGTAAGGGTAGATTATTATAAAACAATCACCATACGTAGTCTTAGTTAGACCGTCTTACATTAGTTACATTAATTACAAAGTTACCATATCATAGTTCTATTCTTTCAAGTTAGATATTTGTAATCAGTTTTTTTATAACTATGGAATATGAAATTTGATTTTGTAAATTTATGCCTACAGAATCCTAATTTTAAAAATGGAGGTTTACTGTAGTAGTAGGCTTGTTCTGTTAGAATTTCGAAAGTTCGCGAAAAGCTACATAATGGCTATCTGCACATAACTGTCCCTAAGTTTGAACTAATAGACTACAGAGGCTAAGTGTGTTAAATTAAAACAATTTTGGAACCTCACCACGTCGTTACATTCCACGTCACCGTGTCCAATCATCTTTATATCAGAGATTTTCAATCTGTGATGCGCATATCACTGGTGGTGTGTGGAGCTAATGTCGGTAGTACGCGAAAAAGGTAGTGTATAAATTATAAAATTTGTAATAAGCCTACTATGACCATCCTACGTACATATAAAAACAACTCTTTTCACTTCTAGACTCACACTCGGCCTTCATAAACTTGCCAATGTTTTCTCCCCTTCAATTTAACAAAAACCATGACATATCTTTCCTATTAATGGGTAATGTTTAAAACATTAATTTTTGCTTCTAGGGTGTGTTTTTTATATTAAATCCGGGTTTGTATTTCAAATTTTGTTTTTAACAAAAATTGGTACCAGAGCCTTAAAAATGTGAGAATCACTGCTCTATGTGTGAATCACGCATCTCGACAATAGCCTTGCACTGTAGTTTCTAAAACTAGCCCTATTTTTCTATATGCTTTCCATAAACCATGTAGTGTAAGAGAATGGTGATTTCCAAGCGCTTTCAACATAGGAACATCCTTCTTTATTATGCTGTGTACTGTTGCCTGGGGCACATAGACGGCTTTTCTTATTGAACTTTGTGTTCATGGATTCTCATCTGTTACTAGTCGCTGCATTTTGTTTACCACGGCTAGAGTATACGACTTGTTGTAGGTCTCTTTCTCGATGTTTCTGGTGCCCGAAGTTGATTCCTGTTCCTTTGTTTTCCAATTATATTAAATAGAATGGGTATCCCAGTCTAGAAAACTCTGAATCCAGATTTGAACACATATTTATAATCTAAGCGTATGAATATTTTGCGCCAAATAGGCCTCTTTCATATCCTTCCTAAGAGCGATCGATTTTCTGTGTCATCACACTACCTACGAAATGCCAAACAATGTAGAAATGTAGTTATCATACATTTCGTTCCATGGCAACTTTTATCGCTGTGGATCTCTCGTGACTTGCTGATTTGCACAATCAACATCATTTTAATCTAAAGTACTCATTCCTTTAGAAGGAAGACAGTTAGTCAACAGCCAACTCTTGTTTAATCGAATAGTCAGGTTTTACGATCACTCTTCTAATTCATCCACATTCCCAAAGTGCAAAGTGTGTTTTTTGCGGTAGCGGGACGCGAACTAAAAAATTCTCGCATTCATAGTCAAAGCACATTAACAACTTGGCCACGTCTATCCCATTATTAGGAAAAAAAATCGTGTGTTTCATGTCAACATTCAAAATATTGATATATGTTTCTTTTTCAAGAAACTTATTACTGATTACATACGTATATGTGTGTGTGTGTGTCCTTCTGTTTTGTCTACCTGGAAATGCAGCAGTAAGTTGAACATGACGACAACATCTATAATCTGATTTTTTTAATATATATATATTCCCGTTGTAAACTTCTTCTTTTGAATTTTAAACTTTCATTGCATGGCTATAAATTCAATAAAAATATATTTTGAAGATTGGATAATGTTCTAGCTGATTCATGCCATGTTTTATTTCTTTTCTAATAATTTTCTGACATCGTTTCGGCTATATTTGTTGAATGACTGTACAAGTTGAAAAAAAAAAAGTCAACGAAATTTTTTCAGATCATTGTCAGTTATATTCAGAACCAATACACAAGAATTCAGAAAAGATACCACTACAAACTGTGATAGCCATTGTTGTTTGGATATCTCAACAAATCACATAATACTTTATACTCGATTTCTTTAGAACAGAAGTATTTATTTGTTAACACCAACAGTATATACAAATCAGCAACGAACCAATTGTTATAAACTCTGAAGTTTACAGCCAAGTTACTGGGAGAATAATGAAACGTAACAAGGTATGTTTCGACGATGATGAAGGTATGTTCTGGTGGTCATATTTTTTAAAACTTTACTTTTCTGGTTATTCAAAGTTGTTTAAGATAAGTAAAGAGACGTTTAGAAAAGTAGCATATATATTTTGTTTATCTTATTCAACAGACCATATATTCTTAAGAAACTAGAAAAAACAGAATTAGAATTTATTGACAGAAAACGTAAAGAAAACACACATAAGAATATGCGATAAAATCCGTTATATTGTAGAACTTTCACACATCAATTCCTATACACAACATGATTGTGGTAAAACATAATACACAACAGGCTGCTAAGATATCATGTCGTTCATTAAAGCATGGACGGAACATTAAAATACAATTTAAAAATCTAACTGAAGGAAAAATTAGTTACTAGTGTGACAAAAAAAGAGGGGGATTGCAATTTAAATTTTAATAATGGCTGAAATGGAGCTGTGTTTGAAATACGTGATTTCAAACTACTCCGAATTCAGAATATATATATTATAGACTGCTTACACTTTTTTATTATTTCAGCATTAAAAAGAATGAGCTTACAAAACTGTTTAAAATAGTTTTCAAGCTCAAACTTATATTTCTAAATTATAATTATATGTTTTTTTTTTATTTTCGAAAGTCCTCCTGGTTGAGAAAATGTGGCAATACTGGATTATATTTTTAACATCAGTTACATGGAAACCAAATTGTATGTCCAAGCCAGAAAGAAGTCCTTCTGAGGCTATATTCGAGGCCTACTAGTCCGTGCATGTTTATAAAGGACTTGATAACATGTGAATAGACAAACATGAAATATTATGTGACGACTATTAAAGAAGACTTAGTTGTATACGTCATCAAACTGTACACTAGCACCTCCTTGATCCTGTGACGTCGACAGTGATCCTGTAGAATCCCTATAAGCATTGGGATTGTATCTAATAGGGATTCTAGCTCCACTGTTACCACCTGCTTGGACGCGCGACTGACTCTGAGGAATACCGGAGACCTGAGGAAGTTGTGGCAGTTCAGGAAGGTTAGGGTAATTAGGTTGTCGAGAGGGGCCAGGGGCTTGAGGTCTGGGTCGTGGTTGGGGTGCAGGTGCATCATAAGAACGAGGCCTAGAGGCGGGTCGCGATGCAGGCGAACCACCAAAGGAATTAGACCTAGGAGCAGATCCTGGCCCAGAAGCATCAGCGCCAGAGCCACTAGAGGTAGCTTCTGGAAATCCAAAGTCCGTGAGAGCTGGAGCTCCTAGAAGAAACTCTTCGGGATAGTACCGCTGGTAGTAGCGAGCTGTTTTGTTGGGTCCTTCAAAATCGATGGTCTGAAACATAAATAACGTGCAACTGTTAAAGATTAATGTTTACCATAGATATAAAAGGCTCTTATGGCTAGAAAGAAAACCGAAAGTATTCCAAATCTATACTATAAATCAAGTTGTATCTGTTTATCTGTCGGTAACGAAATGTTTTTAGAACACTTACTTTATTTAGTTTCTCATAATCGCGAGTTTGATAGCCATTTAAATGACTGTTATAAAATTTTAAGAGTTCTTGGGTACGGCCCAGATTTCCAGGACATCTAAAAATAGAAGTTGGGGGTAGTAAGTATGGGAAGTAATTACACTGGCCAATTGGGGTGAATTTTTATAACATTTTATGCTAGTGCCTAGTAGATCTACATGGCAAATAACGCATACTCTTGTCTCCCCATTTGTTTGTTTGTTGGTTGAATCTTCGCGCAAAACTACTCGAGGGCTATCTGCGCTAGCCATCCATAATTTCAACGGGATAGACTAGAGGGAAAAAAGCTAGCCAATACCATCCACCGTCAACTATTGGACTACTCTTTGCCAACAAATAGTAGGAATGACCGTCAGATTATAACATCCATGGGGCTCAAAGGGTGAGCATGTTCGGTGAAGGTGTTCAACTCCGCGACCCGCAGATTGAGAGCCAAGCGCACTAACCATCAGATCATGTTAGACCTGCCATCCTGTTATCTCCTTGAAGCCAACGAAATAAATTCCGCGACTGGCAGCGGATATTTTGGTTAATACCTGCTAATATACACGACCTGAAACACAAACATTTTGTAATTTATATGATACAGGACAATCAAGAAACCTCAACAGCATGTCCACCGAAATGGCGTGGAGAGTGGGAAAACCCACATTGGAAGGCTCTGTCCCTTGCAGCTCCACACGTTTCGAGATATTAGAATTTAACATTTTTTCAAATCTCCCTACACTGTGACTCCCACTGACATGAAAGTGATATTTTTTTGGAAGGGCAGGGTAGTCCAACTATGTAACTTGAACCGAAAATGATATTTTCAATCAGAAGAGACCTAGAAGGTGGGTAATAGTAGTTTGAAAAAGCATCAGACCCCTACGAAGCTGTATAAAGAGAGTTTGAGGTAATTTTTATAATTAAAAAAGAATAAATAGACACTTATTAAGAACAAAAATGCCATTCTTTTCTATTTAATAACATTAAATCCCCTTCCTCCTCAGTACAAAAATCATAGAAACGCCACTGTAAAACCTTAAGGTAAAATAAGGAATTGTGAAGACCTTTACGTACAACCTGTGTGCTAAAAGATTCAGCCTATTAATTGAAAGGTTAGTTGGATAAAAACAAGAACAAAACAAGTGCTAACAAACTTTTAGTATCCTTGTGTTTCCAAGTGTGAAAATCAATTTATAGGTTACGTTTTCTTGCTGATAAGTGTAAACTCTATAAACATATAATCAATCAAACTCTAAGGACAGTAATGGTCGTTGGTTTCAGCTCTGGTTCTGTGCATATTAACTATTTTTATTGTGCTTTGTCTTTTTCAGATTCTTACTTACTTTATACAAATAGTCGTTGACTATGTGGTATTTCTCAGATCTGTCACATATGTCTTGATCAGATGGCACACAGTTTAGATGAACCTGATGAAATACTGTTCCCTCAGGACACATCCAGGAGTAGCTAGTTTCTCCCGCACAGTAATGGAAGACTTGACAGTTTATGCTGTCATCTGCATAGTAGCCTTCGTTCTTTCCAGAACAGGAAAACGAGGATCCTGCCAAAAGCACGGAGAGAGGATCAGGAGTGGTAGGCCCATCCTCTCCATCGGAATAACCACCATTTCCATCTAAAGACTGCTGAGGGGCTGTATCATACTAGAAGAAGTACAAGTATTTTAAAGACATACGTGATTAAAGATCAAATGAAATATAAATTGAGTTATGTAGACTTAGGTATCAGCTGTGGATAAATTACATTTTACCCAACATATTAACGAAATACCAATATCAACGGAAGTATCAACAGTGTTATGTCTTGGAGCATACAAACATATTCCTGCCATTGATAAATATACCATGTAAATATGATTAATAAGATATTACTTCTATATTTCAACAACTAAAAAGTAACAACTACTGAATATTCGAAAGTTAAAATTTCACATTGTGCTAGCACTTCATTAAAAATCCCACCAATAGTAGTTTTTTTCTTACCTCTGTAATATGGATAGTGGTTTGTGGGGTGTTTATAACTGTGTTTAAATCAGAACATTTTCTATCTTTTTTGAACAAAATATGTACATAGATTCTCTCTCTCTTTCCACAAATTTGGAAACATTTTGCGACATAAAACAAAATGTTACACAGTCTAGGTTGAAAGTTATGAATTAGAATAAGTGGTGTTCCTAAAGTCCTTTCTGAAACTGTAATACTGATCTGAAGTATAATTTGTTATTGTAACGTATTTGCAGTATCAATAGTATTGTTTAGCTTTATAATGACTTGTAGAACACTGAAGACTCTCCCTTTTCTAGTGATTTTTATCATATTATCAAAACATCAAAAATAGCTATTTCGAAATATTTCTAACTGTTACCTTAGGGCTACCACGAGGAGCTGAATAGGGTTGGGCTGGCTGGGCTTGGAACTGACTTTGCGGAACTTGGTAAAGTCCACTATCTCCCTGATCACCTTCATTCCTTGGACCTGGGAACTGAAAGTCTATCTGACGCTTTTCCTGATAGTAAAAAATATATGATTATTATCAGTTTGTTTCGTTTTAGCGGAATGTTGAAAAATGACAACTTTGTTCGAGTTTATGTTTGGGAAAGATCAAGTTTGTTTGAAGTTAAGCACAAAGCAGCACAATAGGTTATCTATGCTCTGCCCACCACGGGTATCGAAACCCGGATTCTAGCGTTGTAAATCCGTAGACATACCGCTGTGCCACTAGGGAGGCAGAGGAAAGATCAAACGACGAAGTAAAAAATATTAATTTACTTACGTAAATATATATTCTAGAGTTTTCATTGCTTTACATTCTTAAGAATAGAACTGAAATTATTTTACAGGTTTATCTCTTTAACAATTATAATCATAGATATGCGTTTATTTTCAATTTATGTTTGCATTCAGGAAAATTGATATTGTTCAATAATTTATTGGATGAATCCCTTTTCAGCATAAGTATTATTGTTAAAGTTTTTTAGAAGATTTTTCGATCACAAAACTAAATTAAAGCTTAAATCATTATTCTATTTCAAAGAGTCTTCCGGTGACTGAGCTTGAGGGATGAAAATGCAAATATTCAAGGCTTGATTTCCGTGGTGAACACACCGCAAACAGCCAATGTGTAGCTTTGCTTTGTGCTAAACGTTTAAAAAAATCAAGAAAGTACATACAGTATGTAAGGACAACTCACCCTTTCTTCAGCTCCGACGTAGCCACCTGTAAGAAAGAGAAAAATATAGATAAAATCCCTTCCAAAATTTATTTAAGATATTCAACTATCATGCTCGTTCCAATTCTTGGATTGTTTTAATACAGTGACTATATTAGTGGGTATTAAAACTGCTTATTGTGTTTTCTGAGGTACAAATAAATCCATGGTAGGAAGGCTAAATATTCTAATAATTGAAATAATAGTGTAAATAACATTAGTGATCTGAGTTCATTATTTTTATTAAAATCGTATATTCAGTTATTTAGAAAAATATCTTAAATAAGCTAGTTGCTAATTTATGTAATTAAAAATATGATAAGGAATAAAACCCATACCGAATAGAAGAAAGGCGCAAAGTAAAAGTTTCATTTCCACACGTAGTATCTGGAAGTAACAAAATCAATCGGTTATCTGAAATCATTAAATCATATGAATTTCACTTTTATCTCTGCATGATTTTCAAAAGCGTTAAAAGACAGTAAGGAAACACTACGTTCATTTTGCAATAAATATATACTGCACACACACAAGATAAAAGTGAAAACGTGAAATTGATGAACTTTTTAACATTATTATTTGTGCATTACAAGTATTATACCTTAATAATTGATCACCAATTTACTAAAATAATCATGCATGGTTTTAAAAATAAATTTCACTCTATAGCGTTACGCGAAAACACGTTTTTAGTTATCTTTAAAAATACAACAAATGTTTATGTAAATATACTGAACTAAGTGTATTTCCAAGTGTAGACTAAATTCCTTCACATACAGAAATAGAGTACACCAGATATCACCACTTGCAATTACCTGTTAAATATCTATTCTTCTAAATTACAATTGAGCAAAACATAATTAATTTGTTAACTAATGGCTTGCCTTCAAATTCTATGCAACTATGTCGTATTATCTCAAAATGTTAATTAGTTACGTGTCGTAAGATCTTAATAGAAGTAAATTAAATTTGCTAAAATTTTTTATGATTAGTTCACTTTACTATAGAGTTATCTTAAATATTATCTAATTCTATGAAGATCTTACAACACGTAACCATAATTAACATACCTCAAGAGAAGGAATAGTTTTAACTTGGAACATTACTAATTTTTATCAAAAAATATTTATCGTGTATGTACCTAGACTGAATACCATAACATTATATGAAAAGCCGAAAAAAAATATTTTCGAGGTTGCTTCAATCATTAAGCCCAACCTTCCTCCCCGGTAAGCAAACAGTAAGTTTAAACGCTAAAGATATGTGGTTTGATTCCCCGAGGTAGAAAGAGTGCCAATTGTGTAAGTTTGCACTAAGAAAATATCAATCGTCAAGAGACAGTTGAAGAAATGCTTAATTTGTGCAGAGAAGTTAAACTTACTTCAACAAGAAAATACGAAATGTAATTAAACTACATCCAAAGTTGTACGTTGAATAAATAACTAAACAAGTATTAATGAACTTGTTATTGTACTTATAGTAAATAAGAAAATACGAAATGTAATTAAACTATATCCAAAGTTGTACGTTGAATAAATAACTAAACAAGTATTAATGAACTTGTTATTGTACTTATAGTAAATAAGAAAATACGAAATGTAATTAAACTATATCCAAAGTTGTACGTTGAATAAATAACTAAACAAGTATTAATGAACTTGTTATTGTACTTATAGTAAATGTAAAATAGCATAATTTAATTAGACACTACCACTTGAGGAGTATAGAATAATCAACTTCAGTGAACATGGAAGTGTAACCATTTAAGCATTACACCATATCAAACAAGGATAAATACACAACTATCAACCTGCAGTAATCGTTTTTAAGAAACTTGATAAATCTAGTAAGTTTCACTACAAAAAAACAACAACAAAAAATACCCTAAGTAGTATGAAACTAAATTAAGACTTTTTACGCTCACAGAGCAGTTTCAATGACTAGAAAATAATAAATTTTTCTATTGCTCCTATTGTCAATTTAACAGTTTTATAAGCATGAAATTCAAGTACTCACACGAAACTTGGGCAGTGTTACCAAAATTAAAACGAAAGTGGCCAGGAATGATTATCCACAATATTACGTCTCTTCCTTTACGAAAATGAAATCGCACTCAAAGAACTCGTCTTTTATACGCCAACGTCGAGGCATATAGTGTTTAGATTGACCTACTTTGGAGTTTGAACCAAAGAAAGTAAAACACCAAATGCAATACACAAATGTATTGCAGTGTTGCCCAACTTATGACCAGACAGAGTTCGGTACTTTACCCGAAAAACGTGACCCGCCCTCTTCATCGGAAGAATCAGCCGGTTCTACAAGAATTGTAGAAGAACTAACTGTGACCTAGTTTTTCAGGTTTCCTTTAACCTCCGTTTATTGTTTAAACATGTGAGGTTCGTTATAAATGTTCAGGTTTAGCTTCACCGACGGAAATGTTTAAAAATTGTTTATAACATTCGAATTATAAGTTAATTATAAAAGATAATATTGTACTTTTTTAAAAACTGACCAAACAGGACAAGCACAATTTGCTGGTAAAAAACAAAAAACATATATTATTTACAATACCATATAGCATTATTCTAGATAGCAGTACTGAGTTGTAGGCACGTAAAATTAGAATTGGTGAAAGTTAAATAGAAATAGAAATAATGTTTTAGGTTTAGGTAGATTAAAAAAAAAGTAGTAAAAGTAAATACGAAATCAAAAGTCACGTAATACAAGTAGAAGAATGTCACAATAACATGAGTTATCAATGTTCAAAAGTGGCTGTAAATATATATATATTGTTATTGTTGTTTGCTATAAATCTTGTTTGCAAACCAGATAATGTGAGTGGATAAATTCCAATAAACTGAATAGTAGGCCAGTCCTAAACCTTTCATATTTTGAACCAAAGTAAGCTACCTGTTGGGTTATTATTCCGACTATTTGGGGATAAAATTTTCTAGTCAGTTTAATCTAAAAAACTGGTTCTTTTTGTGTTTGTTAATATATTTAGAAGGTGGTGTAAGTGATCTTTGTTTGAAGTAACTCAAAAGATGATAGTTTACTGAAACCTGACGTATTAACACATTAATAGTTTACTGTAACCTGACGTTTTAACACATTAATAGTTTAATATAACCTGACGTATTAATACATTAATAGTTTACTGTAACCTGACATATTAACACATTAATAGTTTACTATAACCTGACGTATTAACACATTAATAGTTTACTCTAACCTGACGTATTAAAACATTAATAGTTTAATATAACCTGACGTATTAATACATGCTCTAGTGTGAGTAACACGTGGCTAAAGCTATACGAGTCTGGATTAACTTATTATAACAGTCTTCATCCACTTTTATATTATATTGGGTTTATTGTTCTGGTATGAACTGAGGCACAGTTGATGAAATGGGGTCTAACTATTTTAATATTAGTTTGACTAGAATAGGACGCATTTGTACATTATTTTTTCATTCATTGGTTAAGGCACTCGACTCGCAATCTGCGGGTCGCGGGTTCAAATCTCCGTCCCGCCAAATATGCTCGCCCTTTCAGCCGTGAGGGCATTATAATGTGATGGTCAATCCCACTATTCGTTGGTAAAAAGAGTAGCCCAAGAGTTGGCGGTGGGTGATTATGACTAGCTGCCTTCCCTCTAGTCTTACACTGCTAAATTAGGGACGGCTAGCGCAGATAGCCCTCGCGTAGCTTTGCGCAAAATTCAAAACAAACAAACAAACATTGTATGCGACATACGAAATGCTAGTCGGTTGCTTAGGCAACAGTCGAGAAGGGCACACCACGACATTTTCCAAGGAATGGTACACATATCTTTCCATGTTACATCAAGAAGAGGTTTAGTATGTCGAAGAGATTGCTTTTGTTTAGTTTGGTAAAGGTGAAGAAAATATGCAAAACTAATGGTTTAAAACTATTAACCTAAACTTTCTACAGGTTCAGAAAATGGTCAAATTGTAATTATCAAACATACAGTTGGTTTAAGGATGCTGATGTTACTGTACGTTTTCAGACTCTGCAACAACACAGTATAGATCACTGAAAGAAATTTATTCGGCTAAAAGCAGAAGTTAATTACGAGGAATTTAATTATGATAGGCCGAACAGTATAAATATATATTAAAAATTAAACTAACTTATGATACTTGTAGGTGTGGCAAAATTGACTGTACAGTTGGTATTATACGGTTGGTACTAAATAAAGTATTACGAATACAATTGGAACCAATTTAATTATTTTTCTTTTCAGAATAATAGTTAAACATTAAACTATGTTGCAAGTGAAATATTTGTATAGTCACTTTTGCCCTACTCTGTTTAAATATATGTATGCCCATCAGTTAAACATATAAGATCATAATCAGCACATCATTATTACTTAACAGACTGGTGTTTTGATTAAGAGGTCAACACACACGATCATACATAAAAGTTGCAATAGTTTTTACACGAGACCCAAAACTCGAACACTTTCGAATAGTCCACTCTTCTTCTTCAGGAGAATAAAGGGGAAGATTGATATTCTATCAATATTTCCACCATTAATAACTTTTGACGTTTTAAGAAATTGTAAATGAATTTATTCTTTCGTTCATAAAAATTGCGTAAGTAGCACCAAAAGTTGACATTATGAAAAGATCACATTATAAAATTAACATTGGGTTAAGATTTGAGCGAACGGGTCGTCAAACCTTCTTTGACGCGTCAAGTCCTGTCATCTGAGACACTAAGAATACTCCCATAATAGACACCTATGTTTTGAAAATTATGTTGGTTCGAAAACCAAAACCCCGTGTCAATCAACCATTTACCTACTCTGTGTTTCTAGTTCAAACCTAAACTCTATGTTAACTAGTCAGCTACTCAGCGTTTTTATTTTTAACCAAAATTCCATGTTAACCATTTACCTACTCTGTGTTTCTAGTTCAAACCTAAACTCTATGTTAACTAGTCAGTTAGCTACTGTTAACATAGAGTTTAGGTTTGAACTAGAAACACAGAGTAGGTAAATGGTTAACATGGAATTTTGGTTAAAAATAAAAACGCTGAATTAGCTACTCTGTTTTTCTATTTGAAATCTCAACTCAATTTTAACCAGTCAGCTACTCAGCTTTTTTATTTTCAACCTAAACCCCGTGTTAACCGTACAGCTATAAAGCGGTTTTATTTATAACCTAAACCCCATGTCAAACATCAGCTATTCAGCGTTTCTACAGGAAAATTGGGCATTGACACAGAAACATCATTTCTGCCGGTGTACATCAACAATCGAAAGTTTTTCAGCGTGTTATTCAGAAAAATCAAGAAGGAATGTTATGTAGTTTGTTTATTTAGAAATAAAATCATCAACAAGAACGTGCAACAAACAAATAAGGAAAAAGACTTGTCTTCACAACTTTGTCTTAGTTCATGTTCCTAAAAACAATTACAAAAAATTACAAAAATAATCTACTTTATAATGGAACTATATTTTAAGCGTTTGTTCTAATCAAAATTGTGTTTTGACACTTCATTAATTCTACGCTTATATGAATAAAATAGAATAACGAGAATTGAATGTTAAAACCATTGCGAAATAGGATCAGTTGAATTTTTTTTTAACAATGGCGTCATTTCCACACAAAACAAAATAATGAGGATTTCGACGTAAACAAACTTTAAAAATAAAATTTTATTTGTAGGTGAATTCGATTTCCACTTTCTGTACAACTGTTGCTTTGGGTTTCTTTTTTCTTTTTTTGCTCTACTTCAGCTGTATGGTTACAGGTGACTAACGGTTTGGTTTACCTGATTAGATTTCTTACGATGATTTCTCACAAACTGACCTTTTCGCAATGTTCACATTTACAGTTATTCGCAAAACATTCCATACACAGTCTTACTTGCACCTCATAGCGACCACAGAATGACGCACTTATCTTTGACGATATTAATGCTTTGTACAGCATTGCTAAACTCAAACTTACGTTCATGCGTCAGAATCCTTTAAATGGAACTTAAGTAATTTTAGTTTTAGATGTCCTTTTTAAATCATATACTGCAAATATGGATTACTGAAAAACTTTTAAAAGTTGGCGACTTCGTTCAAAATGTGGAAGCTTCCAAAGAATATAGAGATCAAATTTTTCTTACACTTTTCGCACATACTCTGCTTAACAGTTATTTATCATGATAAAAACTCTCACTTAGAGCACGGAATCAGAATATTGATAAAGCCCAGAGTTGTTCTAAATCAGTTCTTAAAGAATCAACTGGTGAGTCTTCAATAGCATTCCAGACATTTTTTGTGAGATTGAAGTGTGGTGACAGTGTAGGCCTCTCTATTCGGTCAAAATCCTAATCTTCAGGGAATATTACGACCAGTTTAGAAAGCGGGTGTGAGATTTAAAATCAGTTAGGCTGAAATGAGGGGCAATTACACCAGCATACGGTAACATAAAATTGGTAGTAGGTGCATTCCCTATAACGTTTGACATTAATGGCACCATTCTACAGGATGGAAAGGTCGGTTCATCCATCAGTACTTATTTACTTCCGCACCATACTACTACCATTGTCATATGTGTCGCATTCCCCATACATTAAAATTTCTCGTAATCAGCACGTGTCTGGCTCAAGGGTGAAACTAGATTCATCTGCACAAAGAATATTGGTCCCTATGTCGTTGTTCTATGAGATATACTTTTAGCAGTATAACAGGTGAACTGTTTACAACAATGCACATCACTTCACTGGCAACTGATGTACAAGCAGACTTTGAAAAGTCCAATTTTAACCTATTGAACATTGACATCTGCCGAGTTGCGGCTGTGAAATCTGAATCAGTCTTGCAACAGGTACTCTATGATTGCGGCGAGTTATAATTGACAGCTATCGGTCGATCTCCTTATGTTATGGATGATAAACTAACTTGGAAGTGATGCCACATTCTACTAAGACAGTTAGAAACACTTGCAAACAATCGTAACAGACTTCTCTGAGGCCTCGCCATAATTCGTGGTGTATTTCAAAGTGACAACTTGGATAAGATTGTATGAAATCGCTATGTACAGCATATATAGCAAATATCCAATCGTTTGCATTGCAGATCACACGAATGATTATCAGAAACTGATCTGCATATCAATGAACTGACAATCTTAGTAGCATTATTTTATAACAGTGTACCTTGTTGTAGTTACAATATTATGTATTCAGGTTATTCTTTAACTGTTTTACATAGAATATTTTACAAGAACACCCATTTATGTTATCTTTTCCTTGTAACACAAGAAACTGGGACACTAAACTCAGTTTAGTTATTCGAGATTCAGAGAAAAACACAAAAACGTGCTTTATTAGAATATAAGATGGTAGAACTACGATCCTTATAGAAGCTATAGTTCTGAGACAGTGTGTAAAGAATGTCTGATTATAGATACACAAAGCGCCACAGAAGTTACTAGACAAATGGATAAGCGCACTTTGTCCCACTGATGTCCTTAAGCCTCAGTACCAAACTGTTAGTGATAGCAGGTTAGGGTGGGTTCTTTATGTGAAACTCATCGACATCCTCTTTTCGAGCTCCTTGATTATTTCAGTAGAAGAATATCATTTCAATCCTTTCTGTATTTTATAGTTCGCCCTTGTAAAGAACCCGAGAAAAAGGAAACACTATTTATGACTTCGTAAAGTGATGTCTGTGATACCTTATAGAAAATCTACACCTCATTAACATATCTCATTTAGAGCTTTTTCGAAAATAATAACAAAATATTAATATGGTAGTTGTAAGCATTTATATTTGGTAATAAGTATTTCTACTGCTGATCAATCTTGAAATTTTTAAAGAAATGTCTAAGAATTTGATTGTACATTACAAAGTTCTATACTGAATAACAAGACACCACAGCAAAGCACAATTCTTCAACAGATCTTTGTTACAGTAAGTACACCGATGAGCATATTATTTGGACGCCTTTTATCAATAACAAGGGAAATCCTACACCCCGTCTACTTTCAGTTGTGCCATAGTGTTTTTGTTTTGTTTTTTTAAAATGAACGTTCCATTGACATTAAATCTTAATGACTTGTTTCTTACTTTTATCTTCTATCGAGGCAGCTTTCAACGGGAGACTGTTGTTATCAAATTAAAAAAATGCCAGGTAAAAACAGCATAAAGAAAGATACCAGTTTAAATTCTTTGTTAGCGACAGCCACACGATGACATTTTTTATGATGTGAGTCAAAAGAGTCCCCTAGTGGGTCAGCAAAAAAAGTTTACGGCTTACAAAGCTAAAATCGAGATTCGATTCTCCGTAGCGGACAAATTTCACCTAGCGTATAGTGTAGCTTTGCACTAAAACAAAGAACTAATAGTCAAAAGATTATTTATGGTTTTGCTTACAAGAAAAGTGACGACGTAACCACATAACACGTCATCTTGATATATAATCGTTAAAAATAGTTCACATTTTCCACCCACTCTGCATTCTTGTTCTAGTTTAACACTTTTCGTTATCTGCTGACAGAATGTCATCAGATACGTGTTCTGTGAATGAGTTTCCTCTCCTCCACCTTTAAAAACCGGTGGGTGCATAGCGACGGTGTCCAAAATATCACTTGTGGGTAGTTGGAAAACAGGTGAAGGAGAAATACCAGTATACCACGTTAAGGAGATAAAAACCAGGCATTGTTCTCTTAGACAATGGGAACGTTGTAACATCGCGTGATCATTTGGTTGATAATCAAGTATCTTGTACAACATTTTGGCAGCCATGACAAAGTAACCCCTGAAAAATGTGACAGAAG